GTCCATCAGGGATCGGAGTCTGTCGGACGAAGAAGGTGACTCGAAGAGTAACCTCGAGAGCTTGCAGAACAAGCTTGAGAAGGTGAAGGAGGGAGCGAGCGAACTGGCCCTGCCTTCGTGGCCCAGGCAGCTGTCGCTGTGGAAGCAGAATCCGATGGTCCGACCTTCAAGTCGACTTCCTCATTTGCCTCGAGATACGACTTCTCGGCGTCGCTCAAGAATCCCTGGAAGTACCAGGAGTCGCAGCCCTCCCATCATCGCCGCAATTCCTTCCCCCAGCTGGGCAATCCTTCCTCCTCGTCAGATAGTCCTCTTTCTCCCCGAGCGACGTCGCCCGTTAAACCGGTTCAGGCCCTTGGCTCTCCGCGAGATATGTGTGAAGGATTTCCCACTTCCGCCACCAATGACGTTCCCTCCCCCGCCATCTCGACCTGTTGCTCAGTCTCGTAATCACCGAAGAGGCTATTTCGATGTTGACTCTTTCAACGCCATGGGCGTCAAGATGACGCCTCCTACCTCCCCTCCATCGATGCGTGCGCTTGATGATGATGTTCCCGGCCTCGATGCGGTGATCCTTGGTGAAACTTTGGAGCCTCTTCGCACGAAGCCCGTTCCCGTCACCCCCTCTCGCAACCATCCCTCGGTGTGGACGTCAACATGGCGTCATTTGGTCTATTCATGGGTGCGGACGATTTCGACAGTGAGCTTTCGACGCCATCGCTTGCTACCCCGTCAAGCTCGAGAGAGACAACGCCATCACCTACGGAGCGCTTTGCTGACCTGCCTTTGGGCTCTGATGCCTCGCATGACTATCGGGACTTGATCAACCAGTGAGTTTACTGTTCATTTGCTGTGCCGGTAGCAAGACTGACGCGCAGTATAGGTATTGCTTCTTCACTGGCCCAGAGTCTCTTGCCTCTGACAAGCCAAGACGCCGCGTATAGCTCTCTGAAACCAGCCGACTCGGACAACACCAGAGGCCACCCCCACCCTCGCTCCTCAACCCAGGCTGGCTGCTGCCTTCTCTCGCCGCATCGTTCATCTAGCGCAAATGACATTACCTGCATGAAGAACGCCCACAGTGACACCAACGACGTCGACATTCGATTTCCATGTTCTGAGCGACTCGGAATCGCGGTCAGCTACGCCTGTGCCAATGGCTGCTTCCGTATGACACCATTTTGCTTTTTCTGCTTCAAAATTGCCTTGAATATCATGGCACTACTTCTCGCTTCCTTTTCTTGTCTCTTTTTCGGTTTTCGGTTTTGGTGCTCCTTGCATGGACAAACATCTACCATGCTTCTTTTTTTGGTTTTATAGGTTTATACACCCTGCCATTTGGCCTCCATGACCCTCACGACCTTATGATTCAAGGCATATTTGTCCTTGGTTCCCTTCCTCCCATTCGCCTTCGGACTTTGCATATCGTCTTCTGAAGGCTCTCCTTCACCATACACCCGGCACATTTAATAACCACATATAGCCCATTCATGCCCGCCCACTCGCTCCCATTATACCGTCGAGAAACGACGACGTACACATCCATGTAGCTTCTTGCTTCGACACCATACACATACACACATCGCTCTTAAATATTTCTATTTATTGGGATTCGTACTTCTTGTTGTTACTGAGGCGACTGGTAGTAGTACTGGTCGTCCAATATTTCGACATTCTTGTTTCTGTTCGATTTGTTGTTGTACTCTGTAGATTGTGTTCCAATGCATATCTCATTTTCATTCAACATTTCAAGCGACGAGTAAAGACTTTACACATCGAGCTACTGAGGATTGTCACAAGGTCACTTGCAAGTACTTTCAGGTGACTATAGAAATGCAACCCTTCCGATGTCGGTGAGCAGGGTAAGGAGGCACTTGAATCCTGCGTTATGTACCTGTAACAATACCCCAGGTCTCCGGCTTCTCTGGTATTGGACACCTGGGGTCCACTCAAGCGCCCGTAAATTGGCTTCGGGCTTAAGACATTCCGTGTCGGCCACGGTCGGCTGAGCTCGGGGACCAATCAGGATACGCCGCCGTGAGCTACCCCGGTGCCAACGAAAACACGTCTTAGTTTAAACCCTGCGCGACTCGGTTTTCTCCTGTTCCTCCATCTCCCTCCGCTTTTCGTTCTGTCTGGCTAGAGCTTCATTGTCTCTATCTACACCATCGTTTTTCTGTAAGTAAATTATGAATTCGAATTGCTCGGAAGACTAATAAATACGACAGGTTTTAGAACTTGTAACTTGAAGGAAAGATGGGCGCCAGCGAAGAACTCGAATACCTCAAGTCTTTGGTTGCACAGTTGAATGACAAGATTCATTCGCTGGAGAACAAGGTCAAGCCAGCCCCTTCGCCTGCTCAGCAGTTGAGGACCATTCTGGTTGGTCCTCCTGGCGCCGGTGCGTTCGTATAGTTCATTTTAGAGAGACAAGAGCTGACGGAATAACCTTCTATCTTGCTCTGAAATGGTAAACCAGGCAAGGGAACCCAGGCTCCTCGCATTCGGGACGAGTTTTGCGTCTGCCATCTTGCGACCGGAGACATGCTCCGTGACCAGGTCGAGAAGAAGACCAAGCTTGGTGTTGAGGCGAAGAAGATTATGGATGCCGGAGGGCTCGTTTCCGACGATATCATGGTTGGCATGATCAAGGAGCAATTGGAGAACAACAAGGCCTGCAAGAATGGGTGAGTTCAAGTCAGGTTATGCACAGCAGGCAGGCGGAGACTTAGCGCCCTGCGAAACGTGGCCGTAACATTTCCTGTCGAATTCCGTATTCGGAGACAGTGGCATGCAAAGCCTTTCGTGCTTCCGAAAATGTAGTTCGCAGGTCCTCTGCGCAAGGCCATTTTCGAAAAACACGACGCAGCCCACTGCTTCCCGTGATAGTGTTCCTGGAGCACGCGCTGTCGTTGCGGAAAGCTCTGCTCCTGGAATCCAGAACGTTGTCATACCAGAACCAAAAAAGGACATAGTGACTGATATTTGCTTTGTTCGCAGTTTCGTCCTCGACGGCTTCCCTCGAACAGTCCCACAGGCACAGAAGCTGGACGGCATGCTTGCTGACCGCAAGGAGAAGCTCGACTCTGTCGTCCAGTTGCTGATTGACGACCAGCTCCTCATTAGCCGTATCACTGGCCGTCTTGTGCACCCTGCCAGCGGTCGTTCATATCACAAGACCTTCAAGTGAGTCTCTGAATTACTTGGCTCTTTATCAAACTCACAAGCGAATCACAACAGCCCACCCAAGAAGGCTGGCGTCGACGATCTCACTGGCGAACCTCTCATCCAACGCTCCGATGACAATGTCGAGACTCTCACCCGCCGCTTGAAGACCTACCACACGCAAACTGGCCCCGTTGTCGACTATTACAAGGCCAAGGGTCTCTGGCACGGTATCGACGCTTCGCAATCACCCAAGGTCGTTTGGGACTCGATGAGGGGTATCTTTGCTGCTTCAAGAAAGTAAACTATTCCATCCATAGACGAGTACTGAGGAGGGTTGTCTGTATACCACAGGACAGTTATTTACCATATCGTGTTGTGTTAGTGCGTTATATAGATTTCGTTCCCATCTTCAGGTTGTCCCGTTCGTCTTCCCTGCGGGGTGAGGCTTGCGGTACAGGGAGCGCGAGGTAGGGTCGTCTTTCCGTTTGGTTCCGATGAGGCAGGACGCGTCGCGTCGCGCGGTGTGGCGTAAGTGATTGACGTCGATTGACGTTTTGGCACTGAGAAGTCAGCGCACTTCCATATCTGCACATGTACATAGTTTGTCAGGGATCGAACCACTGGTCAATTCATCTCAGACTGGCTAGAGGTCGGCTTCCGTAGGCTGAACCACATCGCTCGCTGGAATCGCTGCAATTATCGAAGCCTAGGATCCTTGCAGCGAGCAATATCGGGCTTTAATTTGGAAGTACTTGCGAGCCCGAAGCGATTCTCTGCTCCCCCTATCATTGTATCAAAGCTTCCTCTCATTGCGCAGTTTCTCTTTGAGAGAAGGAGCTCGACGAAGCTTTCCCTCAATCCTTTATCGCGTTAGATGTGGCACCATAATCGTCGAAAGACATTGCTCCTTCTCCGTTAACCTCTTCTCCAACGCTAATAATGCTATTGGATGCGCTTTGCGGGCTCACCCAGTTCAAAGTTGTATATATTGCACGAAGGACCTGAAATTTCGCTCCAGCGACAATCGGTTACCTCTCAACGGCCGCTGACTCTTAACCTCGCCAATGTTTGCTAAAGCACAACTCACCCTGCTTTCCCTTCTCGCCGCTTCGACGGTCTGCATCGCCCAAACAGTTCGTACCATTACTGCAAGCTGGGACGGGGCATACGACATTGCCGCCTCCTCGCTGTCTACCACGGCATGTAGTCGTTTCGCTGACAGCCAAGAATTCCGGGTCTTTGGGGACATCCCTCGTTTCCCCCCTCGTTGCGGCCTCGTCCTTGGTCACTGGCCCAGGTGACACCACAGCCGAATGTGGCAGTTGTTGGGAGCTCATTTGGTATGGGAGGAGAAATCCAATGCGAATCCATGTTGTCGTGATGGATGCAGCCACCAGAGGTTTTGTCCTTTCGAAGAGGGCGATGGATGCATTGACCGGAGGGCAAGCCAATAACTTGGGAAGGATCGATGTCGAATACAGGAGAGCGCTACCACCCGCCTGTGGCTTTTAGCTGAGGTGTGTGCAAGTCCAACGTATTCACCTTTGCGCGTCGGTTAACGGTATCTAACAGTCCACTCGAGGCTCATATGATACTACTTGGCGCTTATGCATTATGTTCCAATTCCTCATGTCTATGTATTGGGCTCTGATACAACTTCTGCTAGGCAGGCTGAGAAGGGGGTTTGATAATGACAAAGGATATAAACTTCCAGTGAGAAAAATAGCAAAAGGAAGATGAACTTCCGGGCCCTGACCCTCTGCCACTAAAATAATAGGTTAGAAGACTACTGCCCTGACCCCGTCTCACAAAAAAAGGTTGAACATATCCATTGTCCGTAGCTGGAATCGAACCAGCGGCTCTTCGGAATTATCGTACAGACCACAACGAAGTGATTTAACCCCTAATCGATACGGACGTAGCGGTGAAGGCTGCTCAAGTAAACAGGTCGTATCACTTACGATCTCGTCCAGTTCACAATACTTCACGCCAAGGTAGCGGAAGAATTCTATAGGCTTGAAGATATAGCCTCTGGCAGCTCCGACTCTCTTTCAACGGCGCGATACTTACTGATTTTGCGATGGATTCTCAGAAGGTCGAAGGTGTTAGACAAACCCCCGAAGCCTTTCACGATCAGATTGCTTGGTAGGTAAAGGGGTGTAGGACACCCGACACCCGACTATTGACTCGGAAGCCCGTGAGTGGATGAACAATAATAACTACCGCTCTGAACTGGTCAAGTCCAGCTCCATACTCTGGATTGTCGCCAATGTATAGCTCAATGCGATCCAACCCCCCAACATCCGGTTCGTGTAGTTGTAAAGTGATGTCTCCGTCTTTTTTCACCCGTGTCGTTCATACATGTGCATGGCGTTCCGCTGGAAGCTTGTTGTGGAGAGCTTGATGGTGGTGAACTTGTTGCGGTCTGCACCTGGCCTTTTGTTCAGCCGCTTGACGTGGTCCACCACCGTCCGGGTGAGCTTGTGAGCGATGCCCCTTCGTCGATGCGATAAAGCCACACCCATGCGGCGTAGCTCGACTGTATGTGGGTTATTGTCGAGGGTTGCATCTGTGTTCGTGGTAACCAGGTTCAATTGCAACACAAGAGAAGAGAGAAGCTTACCTAGTCCAACGATTCCTACCAATTTGCCTTGCTTAGTATCCTCGGCAACCCAAAAGAGAGTCTCTCTTGACTTGGCAACGTCGCTGCTCATCTCCTGTAGCCCTTGCCTCTCGGAACGCTCGAACCCCATGTAATAGGCGCCAACGTCCATCAAGTCCATCCCCCAGAGACACGGTCACATATTCCGCGAACGAGATACGCAAGGCCTTCCTGTATAGGAAGAAGCTCAGGGCAGATGCAAGTGGTACCAGTGTTGCGAGGATCGGTGCTGCGGCCTCTGTCCACCTTTGCACCAAGGATGTGTTGGGGAAAGTAGGTCTGACCAGAGGGAGCCATGATCCGATAGTCCCATCGTAGCACGTCCACAATAAGCCGACGCCAGCGACACAGGAAGCGTAAGTGAGCATCGCAGGGAGCGAGGTGAGGTGTCTTTTGAGAGCGTCGTCGATGGGTGCGCCTGGGATACCCTCCTCTCGCTGTTCCACGAACACAGCGATTGCTTGGCTTTCATCAGCATCCCTATAAGGTCGGATAATGATGCTGGAGGCGGATTTCTCTGCAGCCATGGCGTGTCGCACCCCAGCCATTTCAGGGACGGGAAGAAGGGCTTCCAAGGAGCGTCTGTTGGACCGCAGCAGTGTGCTTCTATTGCCATTGATAGCGCAGTCAAGGTCATACTCATGACCAGTCTGAGTTTATCTGGGGGTTCGACGCGATTGCAGGTAAGTAAAAGATTGCGGAGGTCTTTAGCCTGCGAGTCGGACAACACCAGAAATTGATGAATATTGCGGCAATGACGGGGGGCCCAGCTACTGTACGTGCACAGCAAGTGCAGTCTTGGATTCGAAGGGCAAGAATTCTGGTGTACAAAGCGAAAGCGGCCACAGGGCATGCAGCACCAGTCAAGTTCCAGCGCTTCAGGAGTACGGGATGGCATCATCGATACCTGAAGGATGCCTGGAGTAAGGCTCGGCGAGAGAAGTAATAGAGGATGGATGGGGCCCGCGCCTACGGGCTACGATGAAACCTGCCAATAGCGTTGAGGCCTCAACGTAATGGTGTGGGATAGTTGACCAAGGAAGATTCCGACTTTTTCGTCCTTCAGTTGCGACATAAAATGCAAGGTATGCGCCAGCTCAAGGATTTTGATTCCTGCGAGGGCCATGAAGCTAAATCCTCTATATCATCGCAATTGAGATAGCACCCTAACACGTAGGATTGGACATTTGCAAGGATCCAGAACCCGTGCCCCAACCACCTAGTGTGTGTGTGACCCACACCAAGCCTGAGCCTCAGAATGCTTCGGGCCACATCATCGTGCGTACTAGATTAGATCAGTGATTTTAGTATTGAATTCGTCATTTTGTGTTTTAGCAAGCGTAAAATTGTACGGCATGTGAGGCTTTCTTTGGAGCATTGGTATCCTAAAGGGGACATGCCGGCGCTAAGGCAAAGGAACTCGTGTCTTTATTATGTCAAATACGTCGGCGGACATCCGTATGAAGTCTAGTTCGCGGTCTTTTATTGATACTATCCACTAAGAAGCTTGATTGGAGCGGTCGCTTCTACGCACAGGCAAGAAACCCTGCAGGAATATGCCGTTTGGTGGTCGGACTTGCCAGCACACTGGCCTTGGCCTCGGGAATACCGGAGCGGCAAAAGACATATAAAAGCCTAGAAAATATCTCGATCATTTCCTCAGTTCACAGTCCTTCTCTCTCGAGCCACTCCAAGCCACCTCAGCCCAACCCAACCACTCTCATTCTCATCATGTTCGCTCGTCTATCCGTTGTTGCCCTCGCTCTCGCTCTCGTTGCCTCGGTCTCTGCTGCTCCTACTCCTGAGACTGAGTATGAGGTTCAGACTTGCAACGGTGGCACCGTCCAGTGCTGCAACAGCGTCCAAGAGGCCAATAGTGTTGAGCATACCCACAAGGGCCTCCTTGGTCTCCTTGGGATTGACATCAAGACCATCACTGGTCAGGTTGGCTTGAGCTGCTCGTCGATCAGCGCCCTTGCTCTCGGCGGTGGCTCGAAGTGGTAAGTATCTCTGGTTATCATTGTTTGAGCGAAATGCTGACGATTCGCCTTTAGCACCCAGCAGACGGTCTGCTGCTCTAACAACAACTTCAAGGGCCTCGTTGCTCTCGGCTGCACCCCCATTAACATTGGCATCTAATCATACCCTGGTTTCGGTGAGCTTATTCGCACATTATCTGAAGAAACTTCGCTCACTGAACTTCTTCAGGCTACTCTACGCCTAATGTCTAAACCTAAACTCGTCATTCATTCAGTTTCGATCATCTAATCATTCTGTAGCAGTCTCCTGATATCGCTACTGTCCACTCGTTCGACCAGTCATATATTACTTAGACCGTTCAATCCATCGTTGATATTCTGAATCTTGCCTCGAATGCAGCTTGCTATGCATACTCCTGCTGCAGCCAGAGTGCTTCCTCAGAAGATCGTTACCGACTCGGAGTTCGAATGGGAGGCCTCGACATGCCCATTGGAACCGATTTGAATACGAATTGTCACTCCTGGCCAAATTAGTTGCTCAGCGACGGTGCGGCTTGCGTATACGTCTATAGAGCCGAAGTGGTGAGACCTCGAGACAACCCGGTCGCTTGTTTACATGCCGACCAGGAACTCGACAGTCAAAGCTGTCACTGTGACTGGCATCAAGCATATGGCACATTCTTGTACCACTCTCCATCGAAAAAGATAGCAGCGAGGAATATGGTAACGGGTTCAAAAAACACCTTCCGAATGTAACGCGAAATTAAACGCAGAGTGGGGTCACTGCGAAAATCGAACCATGAGTCAACCAGTCAGTGATCGACTGGTTCTCTTTGTCGTTGCGAGACATTGAAGCATTGTGAAGGGTGACAAAAATCCATCTTATAGATCGCAGCATACAAACACTCGAACGCAGCAGCATGAAATCGTCCGCCAACTGGGGCTGGGAGTGGGAGTATTAAGCAAATTTGAATCTTCCGCTTCATTTCGATCACAGCGCCCAGCACATCGCCTTCACCATTCCCCACGACGAGCTCGACTTCCAAATCACTGAAACTTTCCCACTTGTACGACCAGAAACTAGATTTGTATAATGGCTGAAGGAAGCAACTACGATTTCCTCTTCAAGGTATGAGTTAGCGACGCTTAGGCCCCGATTGCGAGCTAAACCTGGTTCGGCTTCAGGTTGTCCTTATTGGAGATTCTGGCGTCGGAAAATCGTATGTCCTTATATCTACTCATGTTCATGAGCTCGGTAGACTAACCTATTTCCTGATAGTAACCGTAATTACTTGCTCTCTGACGACTTTTGGACGCTTTGCTCACCGACATCCCAGTTCTCTCGCGATTCACTCGCAACGAGTTCAACCTCGAGTCCAAGTCGACTATTGGTGTCGAGTTTGCCACCAGGTCGATAAACGTTGACGGAAAGACCGTCAAGGCTCAAATCTGGGATACTGGTGGGTTCTGGTCCTCTGGCTTTACAAGCTTTGCCTCGTGGAGACGAAGCTTGTGAGAGGCCCTCAACAATTACTGATACGCCGTTACAGCCGGACAGGAACGTTACCGTGCCATTACCTCTGCGTGAGTGATGCTTGTAATCTCGGGAAGTGCTGAATCTGAACCCTCCTTCCAGCTACTACCGCGGCGCAGTAGGAGCTCTTCTCGTATACGACATCGCGAAGCATGCCACCTACGTCAACGTTACCAGATGGTTGAAGGAACTGCGAGACCACGCTGACTCAAACATCGTTATCATGCTTGTCGGGAACAAGAGTGATTTGAAACATCTCCGAGCTGTGCCAACCGAGGAGGCAAAGGCTTTTGCTAGTATGTGTACCCACAGCCGACGCCGAGTAGCTCCTGACCCCTGTTCCTCTTTTTTCCAGCTGAGAATGGATTGTCCTTCATCGAGACATCAGCGCTGGACGCTTCGAATGTTGAGGGAGCTTTCCAGACGATTCTGACAGGTGAGTCATATCAGCGCTGTGAAAGAATTGAACTGAGCTTTTCATTCCAGACATCTACCGAATCGTTTCGGCCAAGTCTCTCGAATCTTCTTCCACCAACATTGAGCCACCTTCGCAGGGCAATCAGCATGACCGCTACCGAGCCCGCTGACAAGGGTGGCAAGTGCTGTTAGATGCGAGAGGTGTTATACATTTCATGTGAGAATCTTTCAAAGATCATGTTTTATCGATACCTTTCTCCTTCCTGTAATTGCATACATGTACTTTGGGCTGCCCTTGAGCACTGACGACTTATTTATTCGATCCC